CGCAGGCATCTTCAGGGTAGTGACACAGTAAATCTGAAGAAGCCTGCGACATGACAGGCGAAACGTCGGCCTATCTGCCAACACCGCGGCGTCACCCGGACAGCCTAGAAGTCATGAACTCGAGCCGCGGAAGCCTACGTGTACATTTATTAAATCTCTACGGAGAGAACATTTTTCAAGACACCAAGAAATTTACAGATTTTCGGAACAAAATAGCACGCCTCCTGTGCCAACTGGCCTTCTTGAGAAATATACACCAAAATAACACCGGAGGCGGAGCTTTACTGTGTCACTACCCTGAAAAAGCCTGCTTCATGACAGGCGAAACACCGGCCTATCTGCCAACGACGCGGGGTCAACCGGACAGCCTAGAAGTCATTGAAATATATTCGACTGGTATGAAAAGTTTACACACAATATATGATTTACCAAAGTGCCCAAAGGCCATCTTAATATTTTACTTGTAAGTCAGTTACAGCACCAGTATCTGTAGGAATATAATTTGAATTAAGTAAATTAAACTCGCAACAACAGACTGGCAAGGCCACATAAAATTAATGGGCTGCATAAACTGAGTGGTTTTCCTTTTAGCAGTACTAGCCGTGATGTTAATGATATAGATTACTCTACGTATTGATTTTTGCAAAATGCTACAGCTAATTTGTCTCCTGTGTTTGTAGTTGCTCGCATTTCTGGCACAAGACGTTCTAATTATGTGAGCTGCGATATCTTTTATGTTAACCCTCCTGTCATACTTCCTCCTAACCCACTACTGATGTTAATTTTTAAGGCCCTTCGATGGACTGCTGCAGTTCCAGTCACAATATAATTTAGTATTCATTAAGTGAAAATATGATGCGGTATTAAACACAACTTGGTCACAATTCATTACAAAATATTATTAAAAAATAATTTACTAGTTGAGCCAGGAATGTTATATTTGTTTGCAATCAATTTTTTGCAGAGTCATAAATAAGTACACGGATTAGTTTTGTAAGTATGATCACTGAAGCATTTGAACGAAATGACATGTTTTTTTTCTTATCAAGTTAATACTTTTTGTAGATTTACTGACCGAACTACAGACCTCACTCGACAAAATAGCAAAGTGGGCAGACGAAAACTACCTCAAACTCAACACTGATGAATAACATTTTCACCGACACCGCAAGGATCCTGAACTTCTCCAACTGACAGTAAACAGAACACCAATAAACTGGACCAAAACTACCAAAAACTTAGACATTACACTTGATTAGACCAAACTGACTATGAAAAGACACATTGATGAGACCATCCAAGCAGCAAGAAACGACTTAACGCACTCATCTGCCAATCATCTGCTACACGAACCAATAGTAAAAGCCAACTGTGAAACCTGGGTGATGACAACAAAAACGAACTACAATGTTCGTCCAAGCTGTCTACTTTTAATATATTTAACCCGCACTTCCACAGTCTGGGGTACGCAAAGGAATCCCGCCCGATCCTGCCAACCACCCACGCCATCACCCTCGCCACAACCATTACCCAAATTTTAAACTGCCTCACTCACCCTAAGTTGGGAAGAACGCACAACGCAGGCCCCCTACACATAAATTAATTTAGGGTATTACTAAGTAAATGAGGGACTTAACTAAGAATAGTAGTTATAGAACGAAGCCTATATTGCAAGCGTGATATATTGTGAAGTGAAATGTGCAGTGCCAGTGCAGTGAGGTCTTGATTGAACAAACATTCAGTGTTGAGCTAGATTTTAGAAGTTTCTTTTTCTTAAGAAAATTTAATGCTATGTGAATCAGTCAGTTTTATATTATTATTATTATTATTATTATTATTATTTTACTATTATTATTATTTTACTATTATAATTACTCTTATAGTTGTTACTATTGCTACTATGATTATTATTGTAACATTATTGCTATTATTATTATTTTATAATTTTCATGGTAGATATATTACAATCTTTATGTAATTAGCAGCCACCGCGTTATAACCAATTGCAGTTTGAATAAATTTATCTTGCCTTATATTATCTTAAATATATCCAAGCCGGCTTCGAGCGAGCAAGGTTGCGATGTAGGGGCGTTCAGATAAAAATGTCGTCCGAGTAAGGTTCAAACTGGCACATACGCTGTCGAGGGAGAGTGCGCATATGCCGCATTCGCGATGTGCAAGACCTGCACTTTATCATTCTCGCTGATACCGCCACATCATAGAGTGGTATTACGCTGATATTTGTGCACCGCCCTCCGCATTTACATTGGCTAGGGTCGCATGGCGTAAGAGTGATTGCGTGGACGCCGTTCGCCAGTGCCTGGTGAACGACTCGTGGGTGACCTGCCGGCAGCCGCCCCAGCCAGCCAGGCGCTTAATGCCGCCACGGCCGCCTGCCTACCGCCAGTCATCGCTGATGCGAGCTGGGGCCATTGTTGTCCTCGCCGTCGGGTCAGGGCGAAAGGGCCTGCTTACCTGGCCGACTCGGCAAAGTTCAACTGACTGGTGGACTGGGCATTCACGCCGTAACATGCTATGTTCATAGTAGTAGTTTGTTTTCCTTAATGCTGGGTGATCAGAACTTTGGCTGTGTAACTTGAACATTAATTTAATATCATAAGCTTATTTGAACCAAATGAAGAATATTTCTCTTAATGTATGCAAGTAGTTCCACCTCTTTTCTTCATTCCACAATGTATTAGAAAGGCAGGGAAAAATCAAATTATAATTTATTATTCCCCTCAGGAAGAGAGGGAATTGTTACAATATATATATATACTAATGTGAATATTGAAACAAAGAAAACAAGATAAATACTGGACGAGTAAACTTCACTTGTGCTTACATTGGATTTTTTTTCTCTTAGTGTATAAAATTACTCTTTCATAAAAATCCTCGACAATCTTCACTGACACTCATCGTTTACACTCACTGTTTCTCAACGATCTCTTTCATCTTCGTTGCTTTGGAGTTCTTTCGGAACGATGTTGAAAGGTTGTTGGCGGTTTGCATCTCACTCGAGTGCAGGAGGTAGGGTAAATGAGTTTTCCCCAACTTCGGTTCGCTGCCTGGGACTTTATATAAGTTTAATTTTTACTAATTACAATTCAGGAGAAAAGTAATTTGTTTCTGTTAATTTCCCCTGTTGTTAAACGCTCCCTCGAGACCCCGTCTGTTCGTAATCAGGTGCAGCGCTGACGAAATGAAGCGTTTTCTGAGAGGGAACTGAAAGCAGTCTCGCTCCCAAACTCCTCTCTTTGTATCCGCTTTCTTGAAGCTTCTAACGTTTCCTTGTATAACCGTGTTTTGGAGCTGACATTCACTGCATTGTATTCTTGAATTTTGTGACAAGTGTCACCGGTTCTTGCTTTCTGTCAGAGACTTAGATGTTCAGATGGTTCCTCTGATTTCTAATATGACAACTGTTACGTATTAATATTCTTTATAAATACTGATACGTACTGACGTATTGTATTGTACAAATTCTTTATAAAAATTTGATTCACATGATATTACGTAGTGCATATGTACTATAATTTAACAAACTAACAAATATAAAACTAAACTTAGTAAAGTAATGTGTATTAGTTTACAAAAAACACTACAATAATATAAACCAATGACTGTACCTTCAACTGTAACTAAATTAAGCGTATGTTAAACGTATGTGTATTAACGCTTATACAGTAACCCACGATCTAAAATATGTAATTTAAAGCGAATTGTTCAATCATCTACTCGTACTACTTCAGAATGGGATTTATTGCTGTAATATAAGTAGTTGACCCTTTCCATTAATGCACCAATTCCAATGATTTATTTAAATTACTTTTTATAGTAGTATAATTTAGATAAGTCAATAATAAACTTTATTAAATATTAATTTATTACATATTCTTAACCACGGGTAGATTCCTGATAAGAAATCACTTCATGTCAAAAGACAGACAAAACGTCTTTCAGAAATACTTATACTACGAATAAACTTATGCTTCAAAGCACCATTCCCCCTGACTTTCATATCTAATTGATGGTATCACCAGTCGTTCAGAGGAATACAAAGGATCATAGAAATAAAAGAATCGACGGCAATAAAAGAACGGAGGCCAGCGGCCCAGTGACTCCATCTCTGAAAACCCCGCATATCACCCATACATCGTCCAATGACATGATCCTACCCGCAGAGCGCACTTTGACGTGAAAGGGCTGAAAAATAAATACAGCGGCTGCGCAACGTCTGACTCTGCCTCATAAAAGAACGTGGCCTCCCGTGACGTTCTGCCAATTAGGCTCAACGCGCCGGAGCCACACCTCTGATCACGGCGCGCGTCGGCTCAGTGGCACCGCGCGGCGGCATTAGCGCGGGCTGTTCCGCTTTAATGCCCGCCCGTGCGCCTCCCC